TGTACCATTCTTGATATGTGCTCACAAATATCTTAAGAGCAAGGTTTACTCTTGGGGAAAAGTTCTCTTGCAGCTTTCGAAACAGTCGAGTTGGGTATGTCATTAAAAGCAGTATTGGTGGTAGAATGATGAAAACCAGGATGACCACAGAGACTACAGTCAGAGTTATGTGTTTTGGATGCCCAACGGGGACTGTTGGATCAATGTAGGTAACTCTAGAATGTGAGACGTATTCTCCACGATCATCAATGAAATCAGTGAAAATAAAGGGCACAAACACTAAAGATAAGAGCTTTAGGTAAGAGAGGGAAAAGATGGTAGCAAAGGCTTGCACAAGGGAGAGATGAGGATTCCAAGATCTTTTCAGTCGAGTAATATTCCGATATATTGGCCTCCAAAGTATGACCACTGGTTTGAAGTCACGTGCATGTAGTTCAATTCCAACATAGGCCAACAATAGCAGCAGAAACGGGTACGCAGTTTTTAGCATCTCAAAGTGCTGAACGTCAATGTCATTTATACGTGACGATATACACAAAGGTGGAGAGATAAAGTATAGGGGATCAAAGGTGCAAATCGAATGAAGTAAGAAAAAAGCTCTTAATATGTACTTATAGTAGTTTCCAGCAAAAACTAAACTGTAAATTGAGAATCCATTAGGTGTTTGCAAGTACACTACCCATGCATTGGAATACAAGATGTAATACACCACGGGAGTCGAAGTGATATTAACCTGGACTATGAGAATGAAGAGAAAAATGACAGTGGCTGGTAGATAGTGTAGTAGGATGTAGTAGAGTATATTGACTGGACTGCAGTCTGTACACTGGCTACCTAGAGAGCTGACTGAGGGACCTGTGCCATTGGTACATCTACCACATACAGTAGTACCAGTCTCACGATTCAGATGAGAACACAGCCATGAGTTGAGAGTCAGTACATCCTGTGGGAGCTTCATAAAGTGGCCTGCTAGGATATGATTCTCTAAGACATATGGACAATGGCCCACCACTGTCCTGCCTGTCCTGTTGTTCCAAAATGCACAGTTGCCGGATAATAGAGATGAGGTGTAACTGTCAGCATAACACTCGATCTGGAAAAGTAAAGGCTCACCACAGACACAGTGAGAGTACTGCTGAGGTGCACTGTGGATGGTAATGTTGCTGTCGTACAAGAACCATGGCGGGCAAAGTCCTTGTGAGAGTGCTCCACATAGCTTATGGACCCTGGATTACATAGTAGATCCCAGGCGAATGCATCCAGTAATTTCGTATTTTAAAAATGTGACTTACAATAACACATATAGTACGTACGTATATGGTACGTGTACTATTCTACATACACTGCAATGACTGTTCAGGTGTGGTGCCAGCTCACAGCTCCCTCCTCTGTGAATTTGTCTGTCTCCCGACCTACGAGAGCCCTGACTCAGCTCTCTTCAGACTGATGGTCCTGGGGACAGGGGCTGAGGGGGGCGTGGCTTCCAGTGACACCCCCGGCAGAGTTGGAACCGATAGCCTACTCACTCTCAAGGCTGAGGTTTGTACTTATGTATGTGTATGTCGACAACGAGGTCAAAGCAAAGCAAAGGCAAACAAGTCAACTGCACCCAGGACAACTCTAGAATTGCTGCCCTGGATGGGATGCATGTGCTCTTTACATATAATTTATAGGAGTTTGTGGATATTGCATGGTAATAATTGTGGGTATATAAAGCGAGCCCACCTGTACA